TGTGTGTCCACTCAACAGATGAGCTCACCGAGGCCCTGGCTCAGGACGTGGGTTCTGCGGTCCACTGGCCCGGATTCAGGGCCGCAGTTCTCCTCACCTCCTACGCTGTGCCACGTGCAGAGTTCCACTCAACCTCCCTGGGACTTGGTTTCCTCAACTGTTGAGTGAGGACAACGGCGTTCCCTATGCTGTCCATCTGCCGGGAGGCAGCGTCCAGTTACCCCAGCCGATACCTGGCATGCGGCCAACTCTGGCTTAACACCCAGCCTTGTGCAAGTCTGCCACCATCCCAACGCTTAGAGTCTTGGCAGGGGAGACCGTCGACTCACAAACTGAAAAACAGTAATTTGTTAAATGACCAAGTGTCCAATGTTAGAGCACCAAGAAGGTGGGGCGCCAGGGTCGCCAGGGACAGCAGCATGGCATTGCTGTTGGAGACCCCTCCGGGCCAGGTCTGTGGCCCCAGCTGCTCGTGCATGGGGCTGGGCGCTCCGGGGAGCTCCTGCTCTGTGGACGAGCCAGGAATCCCGCCGTGAACGTGCTCATTCCTGCCACTGGCAAGCCCGGCCGCAGCCTGGAGGAACACCTGCGCGCCCAGACCCTCTCCGGGCGACGGTGGGCATGAAATATCGGGGCCCCAGCACAGCTCTGCTGGACACCTCCTGTTCAGAGGCAGCAACAGCCAGGCCACTGGGAAGGGCGGCCTCCAAGGCTCGTGGGTCCAAACGACGTGGAGAAGTGGGTCGAGAGTCCTCCTGAGAGACGGGCCAGGATCCGAGCTTCTGGTGCACGCCTGCACGAGGAACCTCGGGCTCCCTGTTCCCGATGTGCAGCGTAAACACGTTAGCTGGACCCGGATGGAGTCCCCACGGCCCCCCGCCTCCCTCTGAGAGCGCTCCCCAGCGGGATGAGGCGGCGGTGAACCCCACGGCTTTACTCCCCACCGACGGCTCTCTCCATGGTGGAACACTGGATGCTGAGCGGGTCTCCCGGTTTGTCTGTGGGTAAACTTCTCTCTTCTTTCATGCGTAGCTAACACACAACGCAAGATAAGAGCTCTGATCGCATCCAGCTCTTAGGAGGGCGGTAACTATGCCAACCCACCTCTGCTGGCCGAAATCGAACGTTACTTCCACAAAAACACGAAGTGGAAAGTTTACAGATTGGGCACCCAGACCTGCAATGGCGCATCAGCACTGCGAGCCGCCCAACGCGCTTGGTGGCGCCACGAGCCTCGGCGTTTCAGAAGCCCACGTGAAAGAAGGTGCCCGGGCCACTCTCCAGCCTTCCACCAAATACAATAGTAAAGAACAAAGAATTAAAAAGTATTTGTTGAGGTGCCTGGGTGGCTCAGTGGGTTAAGCCGCTGCCTTCGGCTCGGGTCATGATCCCAGGGTCTGGGGATCGAGCCCCGCATCGGGCTCTCTGCTCAGCGGGGAGCCTGCTTCCTCCTCTCTCTCCGCCTGCCTCTCTGCCTGCTTGTGATCTCCGTCTGTCAGATAAATAAATAAAATCTTTAAAAAAAATAAAATAAAGTATTTCGAAAGTAAAAAATAAAACAATAAAAGCCCAGAAACGCAGCAGCAATAATCTTTGAGGCAGCTGAGGTCCTCTCGGCGCGGCTGGCAAACTGAAGCATAAACACAGTTTAGGCTGAAGTTGGTCAAACATCCGGCTGAGTCCGTTTTCTAGAAAACAATCTCGCCCCAAACAAGCTGCTTCATATACGTGACGTCTGAACGTGCTTTTCCTTGCTGGGTTGAAACCTGAAGTATTTTCAGCGAAGCGAGAAAATGTTCACGTTGGATGGCCTAGGAGAGCTGTCACGAGCGTGATTTCTGGAAATAAACACGATCGTAAGAAGGTTGGCCCGAGCAGAAATGTAAGTCCGCGTGAGTAGCTGGTGTCATTAAATTGTCCCTTCAGCCAAGGTGCCAAGTGACACAAATTTTTTCGAGTCGTCCCAACATGATGGCCTGCCTGGGTCTGCATGAGCCTGAACAGATCTCACTCCAGAAATCACTAATTTTATTTTCTCCAGGGTCCACGTACGCTCTCTGCTCTGCCTGCCAGCCAAGGATTTGGGACAGACAAGACCCTATTTTCTCCGGACCCGTTCACGAAGGTTCCCTCAATACAGACATGGCTCAACAGACACTGTCTACGTCTCATGGGTCAGTATCTCGCTTGAGAAAATTAGAGCTAAGTTTCAGGAGGATTTGTTTTCACTTTAACTCTTGTTTGCTGGTCACTGACACTCAATACTTACATGGCTTTCGCCCCAAAGGGCAAAGTCTTTAAAGCAGAACAGAATTTAGTTAAACAGCTGGGTTTCTTGCACAATCATCATAGTAATATGGACACTGACGGGCAGTGGGTCACTTGCCCAGTTTGTAAACACACACAGGTAGAAAAGCCTGCATGTCATTTGGTTGAATTTTTAAAGGACAATACGTGGTTTACACGAGGAAGGCGTCCTACTGTGCTGCATGGACGCGTTCCTACGTCTTTAAACAGGGCTTCACATTCGGAGTCAAATGAACCCCCTTGCCATGTTTTCATTTTTCAAAAAACAAGTGATGACATCACTTTTAGGAACCAAAGGTAAGCCTTTCTGTCGGCATTGGGCTCTAACCTGTTTCACGCAGTGTCAGGTGCACGCTGTTTCTTTTCAAATTAAACAACGAGGCAAGTCATTACCCAAGACAAATTAAGGAATCACAGCGTCTGTCCCACAAAGAACCGAGATGCTGAAATCATCCGAAATCATCTTCATCTGAATTTTAGCAACACACAGGTTGAAAACGTGCTCACCGGGTTTGGGGGTTCTCTCTAGCAAGAGATGGGGGCAGGAAAATGTCTGTCTGTTCTCGAAATGAAATGGGAACCGTTCTTGGTGGCACAGAGGCAAGGGCCACCCCGAGACCTCTCGAGGGAGAGGACGGTTGAGAAGCTCTAGGACGCTGGCGGCACGGGCACGGCAGGCACTGACGGGACCAGACCCGGGGCCGGGCGGGCATTCCCACGCGTGTTCCTCACCCCCAGCGGAAAAGCCTTTGTTGAGAAGGTGAGACTCGGAGCCCCACTCCCTGCACAGCCTGGTTTCCCGCCCGTCCGCACGCGCACAGGCGTCCTCACATGTGCACTCCGCCCGACTGCCACGGGAGGATGGAGAGGGGTCGGTTCCCCCCACACATAGACGGGCAGCAGATCTAGAAACACCCGCAAAGCCTCCTCCATTGCTATTGTGAACGTTGCGGGGAACGTTTCCTCGCAGGCTGGCCGGCGCCTCTCCGGCCTCTTGGGGAGGTGAGGCTCCTGCGGTTAGCGTTGGGCTCCGGTACTCCCCGCACTCCCACGGTGCGGCACGTTTCAAGCGAGGCCTCAAACACTCCCTGCTCCGTACGTTTCCCGCGGACTGGATGCGCCCCGGGGGAGGCGAAGGGGGACCTGGCCGGGACCCCTCCAGATCTGGGGCAGAATCTCAGCATCTTCCCCACCCCCCAGGCCGGGGCCCACTCCAGAAGTAACACCGCCATCTGCGGGGCAGCCGGGGAACCGCGCGGGAGGCCGAGCCGCCCGCCCCAGCAGTCCCGCTGGAGCCAGCGAAATCCCTTTCGCTCGCACCATGCCGGCCTCATAGGCGGGAGGACGAGGACCGCACAGTCTAGGCGAACGCACGGGAAAGTGGCAACAGCCTTCTGGCTCTGGTGGGCAGAGATTTCAAACACACTCTGGCCCATCCCCTTAGCCTGCGACCCCCAAATTGAGGAGGTGAAAGAAAGGGCATCGCTCCGTTTCATTTCTAAGACTTCTGGATTAGTTATGAATTTCTGGGGTGAAGATTTATTTTCCCAGCCATCAGCACCCCTCTTTTCCTCCCCACACTTCCCCGGGCTGGGCAAGAAGGGGACACGGACACACACACGCACACACACTCACGCTCACACCCCCCCTCGGGGTTCTTTAACCTGACAAGGCTTCGCAAACCCAAGAGCCCAAAACTGGGATAACCCAAATATTATTCTGAATCCTTTATCTCAGGAACTTACACACAACAACTACCATTTTTGAAGTTTATGTAACTTTTTCTTATAAATACAATCCTGTTCTGATCCCCTATCTGTAGGATGTCGATTTCTGGATTTTTCTTATGCAAATAACCGACTTGCTTTTCTCCTTCTCCCTGTTCCTAATTGATCTCCCTGATTTGCCTTGAAATTTGAGCATTAAGTGCTTTCTCTTGGTAATTAAAGGCAGGGTATTCTTTTCAGGAGAGAACTGCATTGTTTTACAATTGCCCACACTCATTAGGATAGTTTCATGGAAAGAAGTCAGTTGTGGCCTAGAGTGTGAACATTTTTTTTACTATCCTTCCAACATTTGACAAAGATGTTCAGAAGATTTTAAAAAATAAACAACTTACGTTACATGAAAAATACAATTACATTTATTAAGTATCACGAGGCACCCATTTTTAAAGAGAAACATTTTTTACTGCACCTTATTTTTCTTTATTACACATCATAAAAATTTTTTAAGCGTCCTAGGAGCCTAAAGTCAGGCTTGCTATTACGTTACAGTCAGGAATTACTTCATTTCATGCATATATTCATTTCACATACGTATATGTGGGCATAACCAAAGTGTTTACATTTTGTAACTTAATTTCTCACTCAGTAGAGTTCGAAAGATCTGGACATTATAAAGGCAAACTCATTTTCTGCTGGAATGGAATGAGAAAATGAAAATTTTAAAATTCATTTTATTAGGTAAATTCAGTAGGGACTCACTGTTCGCCCTGAAATAAACCAGCTTGCTTCGTTGACTTTCGCCATCTTTCGGAGCCTTAAAATGAAAACCGGAGTCACGGCCGTGGCTGAGCTCTCCCCCCTCCCCTTTCCCACCCATGTTCGTACAGACATCACAGAGACTCCTCTCCTAACAGTCAGCGTGGTGCTGCGGGCTGAAGGGTTCGTGGTGGAGTTAACAGAAGGTTAACTGGCAGAGAAAGACACGGGAGGCAGGACAGATGGACGGACAGGGTCAGAGCATCGCTGGAGGAAGACTGGGGAGTACTCACAATTTCCAGTGCCTGCTGCTGTCTGTCTCCCGGTCCCGATTCCAAAAGGAAATGTGGCTCTTTTGTGCAGAACCAGAAATGAGCATCCAGGAAGTTGGCAAAATCACTAGCTAAACAATTTAATAGAGGAAACACAACAAAATAAATTGCCAAATTTGGTTTTTGTTTGGTTGGGTTTTTTTTCCTCCATAAAGGAAAAGAAAAAGAGTAAACGGGAGGGTGGCAGGAAAGGACCTATTTTATTTTCCCCAGTGAGAGCGAGCCGGGACCCAAGTGGGCCTGAGCGCGGACCTGGGTACGTGCTCTCCTGCACCCACGAAAGGGAGAGGACCAACAGCTGACTCAGAGCTGGGGCTCGCGGCAGACCCCGAGAGTCTGTGCGAGTTGTCCGAGTTCCTGCCGCAGATCTGAAATGAGTTTTCCTATGAAAATACACTTAAAACTCAGCGACCCCCACCCCTCATGAATGCCTTCAGTGACAGGAAATGTTAACCATTTTAAGCACTTTTTATTTGCATTTGCTTCGAGGCTGAAGGAGGGAGGGAGAAATGTACCCTTAATGGTCGGTGGCGACGGGATTGGGGGGTGGGGGTGAGCCGGCATGTGTGTTTCTGGGCACGGGGGGGCATCCTGGGTCCTGAGTGGGCCCCAGACGGCAGCGACTCCGCCACGCACTCCCACAGAAGGAGGACAGGGTTTGCGTGTTGTGGTGAGTCGTATCCCGAATTCCCCTGTGTTGTTGATAAATGAGAAGGCAGTACCCTTCCAACCCCCAGCTGGGGAGGGTGAAGGAGAGGCCCCAGCTTGCAATGTTTGTGGTGCCGAGATGTGTTTGTGTGAGTGTTTTCTCCCTGGGATCAAAAGGGGGGAAAAAGATTTTTTTCCCCCAAATCAACCAAACACTACAGCTCAGAAACACAAGGAATGTGTACAACATTGTCCTTCAGAAATCCATGTTGGATTTTTTTAAAGCCCTCTCTTTGATCAAAAGCCGACAGAGAATTACATTTTCCCTCATTCTGTTGCATTTAACGTGGACTCACACTGGGTGAGTTTAAACAAGCAGGTGGCCCAAGCATGAATGCTCCTTTCAGTCCAGCAGGGGAGGTGGGCTGGCCCCGGGGGCGGAACGGCAGCCCGGATTAGTTACAGGGAAGGGGCAAAAGCTGCCGCGTCTCAGGGGCCGTTAAGACCAGAAGAAACCCGCGACGAGCACCCTGGACACTACGTCTGCGCGCTGGGCCGGGCCCTCTCGCAAGAGCACAGGGTAACGGCAAGTCCTTCTGCGGGAAGGCAAAGGGCTGCTGCCTCATCCACGGGTGTCAAGTCGGGAAAACAAAACAAAACCCTTCAAAGTGTATTTCAGGAGATCATCGCGCACCCCACGAGGGCACAGTAGCGCCCCCCACCCCCGGGAAATCCTGCACCGGAGCCTCCCTCTAGCTGCCTGGGGAGGCAATGGGACACTGAGAAAGGCCAGTCCTGGGTTGAGGGGCTTCGAGGGGCGGCGTGAGCGGCGCCCACTCCCTCCACGCCCTGTCAACAGCAGCCCCCGTGTGAGGACTCTGAGCCACCAAGCTGTGGTCCACAGGAACCAGGAGCGTGCACACAGCTGGGCACACATCCCAGGGCACGTGGACACCCTAAGGTCACAGCTGAGAGCCACGTCATTGTGTCTCCCCTGGGTTGAAGAACTGAGGAGCTGACCGGTGCTCCCCCGACCTCAGCCACCCTTCAGACCTCCCCCAACAGTGCACAGAGCCCGCAGAAGAGGGACGGACTGCCTCCCTCCTGCCCACGTACCAGGTGTTACAAGAAGTCCCCAGATCCCAGCCAACTGTCTGGATGACACCCGTGAGTGGGCATCAGGGCCAAGCGGGTGGTAAGACGGTCCAAGACGGCGCGTCCACGTCCCTGGTACTGCAGGCACGACGAGCATAAGCTCCCCTCCGAGTTCCTGCTCCTCTGGGCTCCAGGTGGGCGGCTGGAAAGAAGGTAAGGAAGGTACAGCTCGAGGGGAGGAGCTGACCCGCGATCGAGCGTGCCCTCAGTTAGAGAACGCCGTCAGTTAGAGAACACGCGCTTCCTGGAACCTCGAACCGGAGGGCAGGAGCCGGGACACCAGCTGCAGACACCGACAGGGCCGGGCTGCCGTGAGCACGCTCGGGGGCCTCTGGCCCCAGGACCCCACAGCCCCACCCTGGTGCCTCCCATGGCTACCTCTCCATCCCTCAGGCTGCTGAGCGGACCTGTGTCCCCGAGCTCGTGTGCTCAGAATCCCGCTCTCCAGGCATGTCGGGACTGACGCGGCCCCGTGCCCAGAGGGACACCGTCCTGACAAGCTGGCGAAGGCAAGAGAGCCCACGGGAGGAGGAAGACAAAGAATGTTCTAGAAGGGCACAGAGTCCAGACCCTGCGCCAGGACGCAAGCAGCACCCACTTCCTCTTCTACCGGTGTTTCTCTGAAACACAGACAATGAACCAGGGCCGGGAGGAATACGTGTGTAAAGACACTGTGGAGACGGCACGCACGCGGACCTCCTCTTGGTCACTCATCTGCTTAAATCCCAGACGATTTCCTTCTTTTTTTTTACACGATTTTCTCCCCTACTCTCACAGAGCTTCCCTCCTTAATGCAAGCGAAGGTATTTCCCACAGCCTGGGTGCTGGAATGTTCTAAAATGCTAACATCGACACATTTCGACTTCATTTTATTACAGAAACGTTATTTTATGGCACGGAGTGTGTGGTGTGTGTGCAGAGCAGGCAAAGGGGGGGCTCCCCTACAGCACGGCCCGCGGTGCCGCTGCGTCATATAAATCCTGAGAAGTGACAGTCTAGCTGGCAGGAGAATTTGGGAGACCAACAGACAAAATATACAGTGCAGCCCGTGGGCCTCACCTTTACAAGGCAGAGAGAGCTTCTGGAATGGGCGGGCCAGGACCTCCGGGGCCGCTCATTAGGTCACTGATGAATTGGACAGGGGCCCACTGCCCTCCTGGGGCAGCGAAATGTTCGAAAACCGAGTTTTATTAACCTAATAAAAAGAAAAGGGGGGGGAAAGTCAGGGAAATTTCAGCTGGAAGAATGAAAGGAAGCACAGTAAGTTAACCTACTTTTAATATATTTGGAACAACTCTGGCGGACAACAGCCGTTCCCACAAAGACCCCGCGTTACTGATGCTGGCTTTCAGCTGAGTGGTCGGCAGTGGGCCGCAGCCGTCTGGAGATGCCCAGCGATGCCCTGTTCTTACGTTCTTACGAATGAATTACAAACTGGTGCTTTTTCATCTTGTCTGACACCAAAGCCAGGGAGTGCCAGAAGGAACAATGGCAAGAGGATGTCTTTGGGGGGAACGGGGTTTCTGGAAAAGGTAGTGAACACAGCCCGACCCTGGCCAGGACAGGAATGTCAGCAGCACTCAGGGATCTGAGCACGCCCACCTCAGGGAGCAGAAATCTGAGAATCAGAGAAAAACACGTCCAGGGCACGCAGCAGTGGCAAGGTGTCCGTTATTCACAAATACCTTCAGAGACCCTCCCCTTTGGAAGTGGGGGCTGGGAGGCTCTAGTTGAAGAAGAAACTAGCTCCAGGCAAGCCTCCCTTCCTCTCCCAGACGCGTGCGCAGCGGCGAGCGGCCAGGTCAGTCGGCCAGTGCTGTGTGGACCTGAGAACATGCCTTGTCTGGCCGGGGCACCTGGCCTGGCCCCCCATTCACTTCGCCTGAACCTCCAAAAGACAGGAGAGCTTTATCATCTCCAGATCCCAGAGGCAAAGGCTGCTGGTGGCTCTGGCCCATGCAGTGCCAGCACGCGGGAGGCAGGACGCGTGTCAGGCCCAGACATGTCCACAAGAACATGCCACGGAGGGAAGCTGCCTCCTGCCGGATCCCTGGTTGGGGGCACACCAGCTCAGAGCTGGCCTTGTGGCGCCGTCTCCCATGGGGCAACGTGTGCACAGAATCACCCAAAGTCGCCCTCCTGAATCAAGGAGGGAGGTGCGGCCCTACTCAGCAGGGACGCACACCCCCACGGCCATGCCTTTCTGTTTTAATCTAAGATACGTGTACCACTAACATTACGCATGCATACGCAGACCTGACTACCCTCACTCCTCCTGGAGCCGCGTCGGCCCCTGGTGTCTCTCCTGTGCTTCAGGAATGTGTGCAGCCCCAAAAACGAGGACAGCTCTGTTTCTGAGAAGCTGCTTTCACCCTTCCTTGCCATCAGGGGTCCTGGGGGCCGTGAGACTGTCCCGTGTGATCCTGTGACTGTGCATAAGGGACATCGTACATTTGACAAGACCCGCCAGACGTCCACCACCGACAGTGACCCCCATGGAAACCACGGGCTCTACCCGACGACGATGTGTCCACGTAGCACCAAGTGTGCTGGACCATGCGTGATGTCTGCGACCCGGGAAACTGAGGCGGGCGCGGGACGGGGATGGGGACTGGGCTTGCCACCAGATTTTTCTGCAGACCTAAAACCACTCTAAAACCTGCAGGCTACTAAGAAAAGAGCCTCACTGCTGAAGTGACAGAAGGAATTTCCCTTTGCCTGCTCTCTTCCCCTTTGGTATTTCCTGGGACAGGATTTTCAGAAAGCAGAGAAGTTCAGAACAAAACACAACAATCCCACCAATGCACAGCTATTTCGGCCGCCTGCTCGGGGCCCTCCTGGCGGGGTCCGGTCTCCAGGACGTTCCCGAAGGCAGGTTTCAGCAGACCTGGGAGCGCGCACGCTAACTTCAGCGGTGTCCATTTACCTTTCATTCTCACGCTAACGCCCCGCACTGAGTACGGTGACGGGATCACAGTAAATAAACCAAAATCCTCTTTCCGTTCGCAGCTGGTGAGATCCAATTTATGGCTGAATGTCAGCCCGTCCAGCGGGATCACCAGAAGGACTGTCCCTGCCGCAGAGGCGAGAGTGCAGGCTGAGCCTGCCCGCGCGCCTGCAAACCTGGCACAGGTCATGGAGGAGGAAACCACCTCGGGGTATAGACTCCAAGGGGACAGCTGACCTGGGGAGCCTCCTGCCTTAATGGGGCCTCCGTGCCAGCCTTTGCTGAAAAGATAGGCCCTGTCCCTGGTAAGAGATGGACAGACAGACAGAGAGGGAGAGAGAGGGAAATGGAGAGGGGCTGGCTGTCCACCTGCTGTGCTGGCGGGAGCTGCCATCTGCAGCCCTGGCCCCTGGGAACATGGACACAGCCCCCCACACCCCGCACCGGCTGGCCCCTGCGGCCCTGGCTCCTCCTGCAGCAGCCATGGGGACGCCACCAGGTGGCGACGGGGCAAACGCAGGTTCCGGTCCTTTGGCTCCCGTGCAGGAGGTTTTTAGCTGGGTGGTTCCATTATCTCAAAGACCGTGCACCGAGGGAGACACCACGAACGTGTCCCTGCCACTGGTTCCGGGTCTGCATGGTCCCACTGTGTCATCTGAACTCCAGCGTGGGGAGCACATGCCATACCTGACGCCCCATGGAAGGGGCTCAGAGGACCCCGCAATGTGCATGGGAGCCCGTCTCCTGCCCCTGCTAGCTCGGATGGGGCAGCCAGTCTCCAAACATGGGTCCCTATCCCCCCGACTTACAATTATACCTCCTCCGTGGGGCTAGGAGGGCAGAGGGGTAGAGGATATCTAGCAGAAAAGACACACAAACCCGAAAAGAGCCTCGTCGATGTTCAATCCTCAGACAGGACACGTAGGTTGAAGCAACGTCCAGGCACCGGGTCCTTCCCTCCCCACACTTCCTCAGGGTGCTTTTCTAGACTGAGCCATAGATGTCTTTATGGCACTTCTTGGCTGATGGTCGGCACTGAAAGGGAAAAGTGCTGACCACAGACAAGCGGTCATTGTCAGAGCCGATGTTTGCGGGGGCTTCCCCGGGCCTGGCCCCTTTCACGGATCAGAAGTCCAAGTGCACGGCTAGGAAGTGGCCAACCTGGGGTGGGAAACCCACAGCGCGGCCCGTGCGCACCTGCCTCGTGTCCGCCCGCCGCACCGCACCGGGGCCGCCTCCTGCTGAGGGACCCAGAGTCAAGGCAACATGCTTCACCACACTCGTGTCCTCACCGAACACGGGTTTAGGAACAGAAAGGCCAAGGGGAGGTGCTGGAGGTCAGCTCGGCGGCCCCGAACTCCGCGAGGCTGCTCTCCCGGGTGGGTGTGGGGTATAGGGACGCGCCGGTCCAGGGGACGCTCGCCCTGGGAGCCATCTCCGAGCTGCCCTCTCGCATGGAGCCTCAAGGGGAGAGTGAACAGAAGTGCCCCAGGCGGGGTCAGCTTCCCGACCTCGCAGTCAGAGGCCTGCGTTCCTCCCCCTGCCGGGGGGCTGCTTATCCTTTCGTCTGCCAGTGGGATCACAGCGAGCACCTGGGCTCCGGGACCTGTGTGACGCCGTGCAGAGAGGAGCCACCCGGCCGAGGCCGTGTCCTGGCAACAAGCCCAGCTCCTGCGCTGGGCTATCGAGATGCCCCCACAGCCTCCCGTCCCCAGCGGGACCCCGGGGGGCTTTCATCCTGACGGCACAGCACGCGGTCTCTTCAGTGGGAAAACGAGTGTAAGAAAACTTGTGCCAAACTGTAACACAGCTGGAGGCAGCCCCAAGCCTGGAAGGAATACGGCACCACGTCCAGCCCCGCCTGCATGACGCTGTTCTGGTGCTACGACTACAGACACTCTCTGCCCTTCTCCAGCGCTCAGTGTTCTTACTACTTTCGTAAGAAGGAAGGCAAACTTGCAAAGGACAAGGAAATGTGAATCAGAGGTAAATAGTATTTTTTGCTCCTGACCCACACTCATCTCCCAAGTTCTTGGTGACGACGAGGCTCCACAGTCACAGCCGTGCAGAGCCTGAGACCCCATAAGCCTCGCTGGGGTCAGGGTCTGGCCCCTCTGGAAGGGCCCCCTCCTGTCCCTTCCTCAGCAGCAACAAAGACAGGGGCTTCCAGGTTTGCAGGGGCCCTGCGAAGCCTACTGGGCCATGCTCGGGGCTTACATTAGCTGTACTGCCTGAGGACCGTCCGCCGCGGCCAGGGCCCCGCCCACCCTGCCCTGCCGTGGAACATCCCTGTCTGCCCACGCCTTCTCTTTCACCATCGTCAGTGGACACACAGTACGCTTGCACACAAAGTGCCTTGCTCTGCGGTCGGCACACAGGGAAGGGTAAAGTCCACACCTCCCCCCCGATACAAGTGCACCCGAGCCCGGTGGGCCTGGGTTCTCTGCGGTTAACTCCGTCTTTCGAGTCTTGGCTTGGGAGGATGAAAAGCAGCAGCTCTGTCAGGCAGTGCGGCAGGCCTGGCCTCCCCGCCTTCTCCCGCACGTGTCAGGACTAAAAATAGCTACCTCCCCAAACAAATGAAAAGCACGACAAACAACGTTCCAGCGGTGAAAGAGAATCCACAGACGGAGAACCCCAGGCCCAGACATCCGTGATGCATCCATGATGCGGCGCGGAGAGGGTGGCGTCCGAGCTGCAGGGGGCATCAGAAGACCCCGGCCGCCGGAGGAGCTGGGACCGCACCCCTCCACCGCTGTCCACCAGCGCCATCACACAAGGCCCGGGACAGGGCTGGCCCTCGCAGGTGTGCGCAGACGGGACGAGAGGCCGGGCCTTGGCCATCAGACAGAGGCAGGGGACCAGCACAGAATCACATTTTCTTCTTGCCCGGTGAACCCTTCCCCTCCAGACTGTCAGCCAGGTAGCCGTGACCGACAGCAAAGAACTTGTTCCCTTCCCTGGGGTTACTGTCCTTTGTTTCTGCAGGAGTAGTTCCCTGCCTCTCCCCCGACTTGGAACACCTTTGTTTGCTTCCCACTCTGGCCATTCCAACCCACCCACAGGCTGAGTACTTCTTCTTTTCCGAACCCCTCAACACTCTGCCGGCTGACTCCCTGACCAGAGGCGCCTGCGGGCCGCCCTGATCCTACCAAGGGGCCAACCTCCAGGAGCTCAGATAGGCTCCGGTCCACCCCGTGGCCCCTGCTGGCAGAGACTCCAGGGGTTTCCAGCTGGACCCCGC